TAAAACAAAACATAGCAACATATTTGGCAAATCATGAGAAGCAAAGAATCATTAAAAAAGGCACTGAAATAAGGAACAAAAAGCTTGAGAAAATGAGGATATCCAATAGAAACCCTAAGATAAACGTTGATGAGAAAGGCCTAGGTGCTGAACTCTGTGGGAGTGAATAGGTCACTTTCCATGCTAACTTTCAAAATCAGTAAACCTATTCACAACACAGAATGTATAGTGTAGAGGAGATGAGAACAGTCAAACAGATAACTAGCCTCAATGGGATCCCTAGATGGCTCAATAATGGAGAAGCCTTCTACAACTATGAAATTGTTACATTAGATACAAGGCTGGTCATAAGACTCTTTATTAAATGATTAGTTCATTTCAGGTAACTTGGCTGTTTTTTGGAAAATGAGCACACCTGTCATGCTATTTACCAATGTTGCCATCATTGAAAGAGCAGTGATAGAATCAGGCAGTGAAATGGCTGATTAATTGCAACATGACAGAAAGATTGCTGTTTCTTTTAAGTTTATGTCATTTGTTCATTCACTTCACTGGAGCCTTGGACAAAAATGCACATTTATTAAGTTGGGTTGAGTTAAATCTGACATCACAGCACTTGGAAAGAATATTCCTGTGAGCACCATGTCCCCATCTGTAGCAGTCAATGCAGAGTTCCAGCACTGGTGGTGTGGTTAGCAGTCTAATTATATCCATAAAGATAAAGCTGGTGTGAAGGTTCTTATCCTAATCTTGTGATAAGATACCATCTCCATGGGAACTCTATTGCAGAGTCTCCTTTCCCCTTTCAAATGTAGTAGCAACCATAGGTTTATGCAGTGATGGTATTTGTGCTGTTTTTCATGCACAGAAGCATTGCAGTCTTTGGAATGTCTGTGGATAGGCTGCACAACATAGAGGTGCCCCTAAATCTTAACTAGAAGGTCAAGTCTCTAATCTGTTACCCAGAAATACAAAGGAAAATTGACAATATCAGGTTTTTTAGTTTGTGAAAATATATAATCACAACTGGACTTAAACCTGATGCTTCTTTAATTAAAGATAGATTCCATGCTTCTAAGCCACTGTGCCTCTTAGTGTAGAAGAGGAGGGATAAAGAAAGAAGCAACTTAATATCAACACATAAACCTAATCATATAATGTTTTTTTATGAACAGTATTATTGTTCGTTTAGCAGGCACATATCGCTATTTATGAATGAAGTAGTGCAACTGGGAAACAGAAATTTTAGTAAAAAGTACATCAATCCTTAACACATTGTTCCTACAGAACTCGAATATCTGAAGGACAAACACGATTCTGACTCTATGTTTGGTAAATAAATATCTGGAAGCATTCTTGCACCTTCATGTTCCTTTGAGCAAGCACCCACTTCATTACTGTGTTCATTATTGTACCTACTATGTTAATATTTGTGGAACTGTACAACATGTCATTGATATGTTGTCAATGTCAGTCTCATTTTTGTTAACACCCTTTCGACCTCATGTTTATTGATATCTGGTCTGCACTTTTCATTGCTGAGGGTAAAGCATGCAGCTTATTATAAAACTATTAACTGGACTTTTCATGTTTATTTTCCTCAGTCTTTCCTTCTACAGCTATGAAATTGTTATGGTAGATACAAGGGCTGGTCATAAGTCTTTACCCTAATTATGATGTAGTAGCATGAAACATTTGAAACTAGGCACATTCAGGTCTTCTTATATTTGCACTGAATGTGTAAAGTGTGCTTTTCTGCCTTCAGCAGATGCATGGCCAAAATACCTTATTAGCTTTAAGTGCAGATCCAAAGCAATTACTAAAAGCCTGCGGAGAATATAGATAATTAAATGGTATGATAGAATAACTAATGTAGAGTTTTGGGAGAGAACTAAGCAAGTTCCAGTGGACCAAAGTTGAAAAAAAAGGACGCTGGCATTGGATAGGACACATGTTGAGAAAACCTGAGAACAATATAACTAGAATCTTTGCACCCGCAGGGGGATAGGAATAAAGGGAAAAAACCCACATGGATAAGGAAGCTAGAGAGTGAAGTTGAAAAGATGGGGAGAACATGGGGAGAGCTGCATGAGATAGTAAATAATAGAACGACTTAGTCTGAGTTGGTTGAGGGCCTATGCTTCATTGGGCGTTAGAAAGTCAGAAGAAGAATAACTTTGAAAGTGGTAACATAACAGTAGTAGTGACCATGTGACATGCCAGAATTTTTTAAAACTTTCTGACAAAATACAAAAAGTTAGAGAGCATATTAAGCTAATGAGGGGACTGCAAACAGAGTGGTTCACACACATCATTCATTGTTTGTGACGCAAAGAGTCAAAATAGGTTTCATATCTTCATAACTGTTAAAGCAACAAAACTGGCTACATTGTTTTCCTACTTCTGTCTTATTTTGTCATTAATCTTGCAGTCTAACCAGAGAAAAATTCAAAATTTGCGGATACTGTTAGTATTATTATTATGAATAACTGCACTCTAGATATACCGATTATGTTTTTACTCTGCCCTCACTACAAAAGAATTTGTATTTATTTTACTTGTCTCTATAATGCATTGATTATGAATTCATCTGCAACAGTCTCTCAGACTATGCTTTATATCAGTACCATACTTGAATTCAAATTCTAGTAGTCACTGACTCGTTGCTTGTTGCGTAAATAATATTTGTGTTGTTTTGTAACTCTTCTGTAATACTCTTCTGCAATACTTTTCATGGTGTTGTGAATGAACACAAGAATCTATTTATTTATTTAAAAGAAAAAAAAAACTTAACTGTTTGTCTTTTATTTGTCCTGCTGTGTTATTATAACACAGAAACTAATAAAACAGAATAAATCCATTCTCATGTAGCATTAACTCTTTTGCTACCATGCGACTTATCATACACACATTGGATAGTTCAAAGACAGTACGCTCTACTGGCTGTCTTCTATCACAGATAGTTTTTATATAAAACCTATTTTTTCGAAATTGGTAGTTTTTTTTTGTCTGCCCTAAGATGTTTTTATTTTAAATAGTTTAGACCTAATTAGATGCTTTAAATTAGAACTTTCTAGGACAGAATGAAAAAAGTAATTACAAGCTAGCACTGAAGAGTTAAATGAATGTCACATTATCAGCATCATCATCATGTAGTAGGTCCTTAGCAAAACATATCCATCAAGGCTTGCCAGATTGTTGGCTCCTTGCCAGTGCCTCTACCTCATGAATAAATCAAACCCTAGATGTTAATAAATTTGTGCCAGTAAGTAAAGAATTTGTTTCCATACCTGAGAGCTGCCTTGATGTAGCGGCTAGATGCTCACCTGCAGACCTGAAGGTTGTGAGTTCAGGTCCTGATGGTACCGGACTATTTTTCATTAAAAAAAAGACCTTGGCTGCCAGGTCGCTCCAGCCTTGAATGGGTACCATATCAGGTCCTGGGAAGTAAAGGTGGCCTGTTTGATACTGACTACATCACCAACTGATTGCATTGCCAATTGCTCTATAAAATATAGGTCCAGCCCTATATGCCTGAAGGCATGTAAAAGGTTCCCTTTACTTTCCATGCCTTCCTGCTTAGTGGACATACACCTATAGCTCTAGTCCCATATTTTTTATTGACTAAATGGTATTCGCTAGGGGATGTTGTCAGTATTGGTCCACAACTTTTCTTCCTCAAAATTTCTTGGTAAACTTTTTAAATGCTGGATTGGGCTTGTAGTCTAGAAACCTCTTTTGATGAGGATTTGAACATACATCATGTGGGTTAGCAGTGGCACTGATACAGTTCTACTGGCATTTAGTCAGACAAATAAAAAAAGTAGTGTGCAAAAGCAAGTACCATTCAATATATATTGGTTCTCTCTACGTTATGTAGTCAGATGCATCCAAACCTTCCATTTGTGCCTTGATGTCTTAGAGTAGACATCAAGGCTTTATCTCAGCTCGTGGCAAGAGTAATTACATTTTTTGTGTGTGTGGCTTTATTATATATATATTTTATTTGTGTCTGGTACTTACTTTTTTGCAGTAATTTCATGTACGTACATTTCATACTATAATAATAATAATTTATCATTATTGAAATTTCAGTGTCAGAAGTTTATGAATGAAATTTAATAATAAAAATAGCTAAAAACATCATTGGTGGAAGTGTATATTTCTTTAACATATATAAAATGTCTTTTGAAAACCCTTACTATAAAAGGAAAGAATGAAATATAGACATAATAATCTTTACAGCTAAATACCAATTAAAAAAAAAAAAAAGTAGCTGTGTGTTGTGTCCATGATAATTAGTCATTGCTGTCCAGAATAAAGCAAGGCGCAGGTTTCAAAATTCCTGTTCTGATTTTTTCACACAATTATTTTGATTTTTCCTTTTTTTTTAAAAAGTTGTATTAAAAAAAAAAAAAATTCAATATTTGCTCTCAAAATATCAGTAAACAGTGAATAAACAAGAGCATATGTGTGTAAAAAAGAGATTTTGGAAATATGATTGTTAGGGTTATGTTTACCATAACTAAATGACTTAAGTCAATATTATGCTGTCCATCTTGCATTTCCCAGAGAAGTTTCTAGTACCCATTATCAGGGCTTGGATTGAGTCCAGCATTATATTGGTCAGAAATAAAAGACATGGTTACAAAGCTAGTAGTTAATGGGATGAAAAGGGGCAGGGGGTGGGGGGGGGGGGGGGGTTAAATAACCTGTCTGAAAAATTCAAAAAAGAGATTTCGGAAATATGATCATTAAAATCATACACTTTAACCTAATAATTTTACAGTAAAAATACGAGTTCTGCCTTTTCAGACATCATGCATTAAATGACAGTCATCTTTTAACTATATATGAATAAAGATATATTTACAAGGGAGTTCGCACTGACTCTTTCCTTGTTATGTTTATTTCTACATTTATGCCGCAATTGTTCTCCTCAATGTGTTTAAACAGTGTATTTGTTGATTATTATTTGCTAACTTATTTCATTTCTGCAGTGCAAATCCCATTTTTCTAGAGAAGATTATGTTGGAGTATCAGGAAGATGGGTAGGTTATTTGAAAATGTACCTTAATTTAGTTGTAAAGTCAAAACAGAGTTCTACTGAGTTAGAATAATGAGATTTTAGGGTTATGACTTCCTCATAGATATATAATGTAACAGTGTTACATTTTATATTACTATATCCTGCTGCAATCACTATCTTTCCCTTATACTTTGATAGATACGAAGCATATTTATTTCAGTAAGATGGAGAATATTAATGTATTTTATATGGATAATACAATGTTATTTTAGTTGTGGAATTGTACAACTACATGACATGAATGATGAATAGGTCCATTTCATTATTTGGTAAACAGTAATGATAATGGTATGATGTTCATAATTAAATACATTCGCATAGTTAAAGAAATTATTCATAAATTAAGACTTTAGTAAACAATAGTTAAAGAGAACGTTCAAAATTAAAGACATCGGCGCAGCTGAGTTAAAGAGCATATGATTTATAAAGTTAAGCAGCATGTAGTTGAGAAATATCTTAAGCATTTGCTTTGTTTATTGCTTGCTTGCATGCTTATGTTGTTTTATCCATTTCCCTTTTATGTTTTCTTGTTGTACATGTATTACATGGATTTTATTACTTTTAATGCCCAAATGTTACTCACTTTTGCCATAGAGTGATCAGATTTTGAAATATTGGTTTATTAACGTTATTGGTACAATTAATGCTTCTTTTGCCCTCCTATTTAATAAAGTAAGTAAAGATCCCTTTAGATGCATTGGGCATATGGGAAGAGCAGCCATATTTTTACAGACCATTCAGCACTAGGTGTGTAATGTAGTCAGCATTACGCCGGCCGTCTTTACTTTCCCAGGACATACATCCTGATATCCATTTTAGGCTGGGTTGAACTACGACGCCCCATACCATGATAAAAATCCCTGCAGCCAGCAGTGTGATATGTTTGAATTATGAACCGGACTCACATTTAATAAAGGCTAAAATTAAATTAATGATAATTAGATATAAAATAACATGTCTTTGTGACATTAAATAGTTGTACTCAAAAAATTATATTTTTTGCTTTGTAATTATTTCTTCTGTACATCATTAGGGAACAAAATATAAGAAATAATAACTAATGTTATAATGTGGTACTTATATATTTATTCATAAATTTCTTTAAAGTAATATACAATAAATGACATTGGCTACTTTATATAAGTATATTATATCCCGGGGCAAAAGCCCACTGTTAATTTTGGCAGGGTTTTTGTAAACAGCTGTGATCATTTAAACTCTTTTAGTACCAAGGAATTCACCTAACTTTAATTGATTATTCATCATTTGGTATATTTTTCTTTTTTGGACTCTCTCCTTTCTTCTTGTTAATTCATTCTATCTCGGCTGTTACTTTCTGGCAGACACTCAACACTCAGAGGAAAACAAGATGTATTTACAGTCAGACTGTTACTGGTATCATCTGAGTTAGAATTCTTGCACAGCTGCCAAAAATGGGAATGGATCACTAATGGGAATTTCCTGAGTGCGGTTATTTCAGTTTTTAATTTAGCTAAGAGGAAGGAAGAATAAGAAAAATGTTTGGGCAACCATTAGGGTCAACTGTTATAAGACAGAGAAAACAGTACTATAATGGACACATTATGAAAAGGGACAAACAGAGAATCATCAAATGGTATTGGAATGAGAAACAGAGGGATTCAGGATACAAGGATGTCCAAGGGAAACCCAAAAGCTAACGTTGATAAGAGATGCCAAAGGTGCTGGACTAGAATCAGTTCATGATATTAAGGTGATTGTGCAGGACAGAACAGAACTGAGAAATAGACAGCGAGCCTTATGTGACCATTGATGGCACAACACGACAGTGACTAAAGGAAAACACATCTCAACTGACTACTGTAAATGTAACATCTATAACATTTTCTTTCCCGAACCTCCAGTTTTCAATTCCATACAACTAATAAATGTTGTTTGCTCTAAGATACAACAACTTTAAGATAAACAGTTTTGAAGTAACAGCAACTTGGAACTGGAAGAGTTATTGTTTAAGCATGTTTATGTTATTTTTGGAAATATTTGTTTAATTATTTGAAATTTTTTTCATGCATATCTTAGGGACTCAACAGCTGCATGAAGGTAGGGGTTTGGATATTTGTGAATGTTTTTTTTGCATGTGATTTGTCTTTATTGCATCTACTTTATACTTGATAACTTTTGATAACAATTGAAGTTTCCAGTTTTATTGAAAAAAAATTGACCATTCACAATATAATAATCATCGGAAAAAGGATTGAATTCATTGGATTAAATTCTATCCCATAAGGCATCTCTCACCTGAGGCGGGCTTATTGCTTGCTAAGAGCATTGCACACAGTACAAACTCTGTAATTCCAGCCACGACTTCCATGGATCTTTAAAACATCTACACTCGTAACCAAATGACAGAATCCAAAATCAAACCTTCAATGTTTAGAGCTGAAGGCAACTGTTTTGCCATATGAAACCTCTCTAGTAACTCTGAAAGGGCAGAAAACCAATACTCATAGCTTTAAATAGTGATGAATTCTTCTGTTTTGTCTCATCTTAATAAAATAATCTTTACTACAGCTTAAGCAATATTGTGAATATGATCTCACCTCCATATTTCTTTTACTGACCCATTAGCATTCAATGGGTGTTGTGGTTAGCATAGTGCAAGCCACCTGTGCTTCTATGAGTATTTCCAGTTGCCCATTCTAGGCTACACTGATGTAAATTAAAAAAAAGTTTTTTTTTTTGACTAGATTGACATAAATAAAGAAAAAATCATGGCCTAAAGCGCTATTTAAACAATGAAGGTTGGGAGTATTATATAGTAAAGACCCAATCTCTTCCTGAGAGCGACTCACATGCTGTTGTCGAGATACCACAAGAACAATTTTTTTAACCCTCTACCATGGGGAATGAACACTAAAATTCGAGGATCATGAAACTGTTAAAAAAAAATGCAGATGCTGCGTATGGTTGCGTACGGCCTCACCATCAACAAAGATAAAACTGTGGCCATGCGCCAGCCAGCCCTAGGGCAAAGATACATCAAGCCCATTATCAAAGTGAATGGCTACAGACTAAACGTTGTCAGTAAATTTACTTCTCTAGGCAGCACCCTTTCACAGAGTGCCACAATTGATGACGAAGTAAATGCAAGGATCTCTAGGGCTAGCCTTACCTTTGGCAGACTGTACAAAAGTGTTTGTAACAGAAGTGCCATAACCCTGCAGACAAAGCTCAAAGTATACAGAGCAGTTGTATTAACTACACTGCTGTACGCATGCGAAACATGGACTGTATACCAGCGCCAGGATAGAAAGTTAAACCACTTTCACACAGTCTGCCTTAGAAAACTAATGCATATCAGATGGCAAGACAAAGTACCTGATACCATAGTCCTGGAGAAAGCAGCCATGCCCAGCATCCACACTCTACTGATGCAGTATCAAATTCGTTGGGCTGATCATGTGGCACACATGCCAGATCACAGGCTCCCAAAACAACTCTTCAATGGTGAGCTGCTAAATGGGAAACGATCCCAAGGCGGGCAAAAGAAACGCTTTAAGGACACCTTGAAGTCTTCACTCAAAGCATTTGGGATGAATGACACCAATTGGGAGGCTGCCTCTCAAGACCAAAATGCATGGCGTGCGGCCCTACACAGGGACGCAGCTACATGTGAAGCAAACAGAACAGCAAGACTTATTAAGAAAAGGATGGACAGAAAAGCGACTGCACAACGCTCATTCCCTGTCCTCACTGTCCAAGAACTTTTCGGGCCCGCATCAGTCATCTTCGTACTCATACTTGATGAAAAAGAGTGGTCATCATCATCTTGATGGACAACACACACACATGGCCTAAAAAAAGCCCTTATTAATATAATTGACAAACCAGCTTGACCAGTTGCAGACACTATAACCTCTGATTTTCTCTAATGTGGAGATAATAACTAACTGTTTACTTTTCCATTAAAAGTTCTGAGGCAGATAGTACAAGAGTATCGTGTTTAGGCATAAATAAAATTGAGACAAACCATTATGAAGTGCAATAAAGACACTATCATCATCAAGTGCTTTGCTGACTGGCTTGGGTGATCATGCCTCTCCACAATCTGCAGTCTTCATTGGCATGTATTTGTACATCTAGTGACGCCCCTCCATGCCATGTCAAAAGGCTGTCAGGAATCGTCTCTCATTGTATTCTTCTGCCACTTTTTCTACTTTTACAATTTGTTTAATTGCTTTGATAAAGGTTATAACTTGTGCATGCTGTTGTTGTATTGGTACTTGTCTTCTGCCTGTTAGGTTTGTTGACTATTCAGCATGAAACATTGGTTGAAAAAGGTTGCATGTTTTGTTTTCTTATTTGGACAACTATTTTTAAAAATATACCAAACTGTATTATTAAAAGAAAGAACACATAATGCAAATAAAAAGTTTATAATTGGAAGTCACAGCATTTTTGCATGTTGTATAAAACAGTTATAGCAGATGGTCGTGAATCCCTTACAATTAGTAAATGAGAAAGATCTTTGAAAACATAGAAGAATATCTTGAAATGCCAAAATGTGCTTTGACAGAGGCTAAACGCAAAGACAGTTAGTCACAAAACATTAGGAAAGAAGCAGTTGAAAATTGTGGCCACACTATACAAAGAGAGTTAACATAAATGAGTATATTTATGGAAAGACAGTCAAAGGAAGATAGTGAAAGAAGATTTTAGATAGCCTTATATCATTAAAAAAAATATTTTATTTTCAAATTCAAAAACAAAATCAGGAAATAAAATAATTCATGCTAGAAACACAGCTGGAATATGTCTAAATATTATTACCCAAGGCAGCTGGCCTTTGTGATAAAAATTATGCATGAGCGCACACACACACTCATGCATGCACACACACACACGAACTCGCGCACAAACTCAGACACACACAGATACATGTGCACATGCCACACGTGCAGAAAGGGTTTTTCTAATCTGAGCTTATGAATTGTGAAGTAAGAATTGACATGACAGCACTTACGACATTTCCATAAGTGCTCTATCTTCAGCTTTAGCAGCAGGCACGGAGTTCTAATTCCCATGGTACTAGTAAAAGTCTGGTTGTATGTACGTCTCACCTTTCCCTTCAGTGTTGATCGTCGACCAGATTCCCCTGGTGACTCTTCCCAGCACTATGCTCCTCAGACCGTGATGATCTATTTGTGCCTCCCCTCTGTGCCTCACTCACTTCTAAAGGGCCCCTACAACATCCAGCTTGCTATGCATAAATTTATCACCAAGTGGTGCAGAAAAGCCAGTTTATCTGCCAAAAACACCAGCATTACGTAGAGAAAATATCCAAAGGATGCTAACTACCTAGGACCTCTGAAGTGATGCAAGCCACTTCGCACCTCTGCATCTATCTCCATCTTTCTCAACATGCACTGTGAGTCAGTTACAATTAAATGTGGATACAATGGAAGGCTGCCTCTACCTCCATTCCCAAACTAGATATTGTCCTTTCATATGCTAGGCGTTGTTGCACTTGCGTCCATTAGCTTTTTGCTATTAACCTCTATCCACTTCTCCTGCCTCTCAACATAGAGCCATCTGTACAGATAATCACATCACGTGGGCAGGAATTAGTATGAATCATTTGCAGAACTTCTGATTCTGCAGCACCAGCTCGCAGCCCAATGTAATTAGAACCCTACACATGTATGTTTGTTGCTAGTACACCTTAACCCACTCATGTCCTCACACAATATTATCAAGCCCGCACACATGTTTAATTGCGCACACGTCTAATTGCGTATTCAGCTTGTGCCATCCAAAACCTTCTTCATTCTAGTCTGTGACCCTTAGCTCTACCTAGGACTTCATGCAGGAGGTAGAGAAGTTTACATTTTTGTAGAGATAATATTTTGGTTCTGGGTTAAGTGGTAAGTTTCTATTCATGTCGATAGCTGCAAGACCTTTAAGGGGCCATGATCTGAACATAAATCCATTGATTTATGAGTTAAAACAGTCTTCTAGAGAATTCACAATCAGCAATGGTAAGAATTAAAATTAAAAAAAAAACACACACACATACTGAATGTTAGTGTATCTTAAACATAATTACTGTACAAACTATTTTTTATACATATTATCTTAAAAAAATTTACAAGTATATAATTTAATGTACAAAAATACACATTTTTTTCCCCCTGCAGTTTGATTGACAATAGATGTGTCAATGAGAGTACATTTGATGAACAAGAACTAACAATGTCAATCGCCACTGAGGATTCTTACTCTAAGGCCACGGGTCAGTCGAACAAAGCAGAGATGTATCTTTCTGCTGTCATAGCTGAGCATGAACTACAGGCAAAAGGGCAGATGACTGAAACTGGACAAGACAGATTTGGATCATCATCTGCAGAAACTATGGAAACACCTCCTGTGTATGTAGCTTTTAGAAATGGATTGAAATAAGTTTCTTCTAAGTGACAGATGTTTATTCATTACAAAAATATATTTTCTAAGAAGTATTGACTTTGTTACACTGTCTATGGTTAATGTGCATTTTATTTGTTTTTAGTAACTTAACGATTATTTCACCTTAATTCCTTCCCATGTGATTTATTTATGATTTTCCCTGTGTTGGTTCTGGGGCCCTGTTATAGGGGTAACAAAAATAGATTCACTGCATACCCAAAAGCATGTTGTAAGAGTCGACTAATTGGGAACTTCCTTCAAAGTCAGAGTGCATCTGCCTGAGAGGTAAGGAACCAACAGTCTGCATACAAATTAGTCAGATCTGTCAAACGGATGCTCACGCAAACTCAAGTTCTGGAACAGGACTGCAGTCCAGAAGTCGACAGTCAACCAGAACTTTCCACCAGAGTTTACAGCTGATGAACGTCAAGAAGAAGAAGAAGAAAAAAAAGATTTATGATTTGAATTCCAAATCCTGATTAGGATATGGAATTCTGATTCTAGATTTCTAATAAGGGAATTGAAAACCTGATATTGTTATGAGGCATGTATTTTTGCATTGATATAAGGGCAGTTTTATCAAATGTAATAAACTGAAACAGATGATGCATGTGTGTGCATGAGCAAAGCCATATTTCATCAGGAAGCAGTAGTAGCATAGAGATTAAATGCTTGCCTGTCAGTCCAAAAGTCTTGGGTTCAAATCCGCATCAAGACATAATAGTTTTTAAAATTGGCATTGCCTCTCAGGTTCACCCAGCCTATAATGTGTACCAGGAAATGTCATGGGGAGTTAAGGCGGGTAGTTTGATGTTGACCAAATCACCCACCCTTTAAAGTGATATATTGATGTAGAAAATACAGGTTTTTTTTTTCAACAGTGACAAAGAGACTAAAACTTTAGTGGCTTGACGAAATAACACAGTCGAGATAAGCTTGTGGATCTTACTTGAGACTCACTGGTTATGCAAGATGGTGTACAATAATATTTGCTCAGCATATCCCATATTGATAATTTTTTAACATTATGTATAAAGATAGCCACAATAGTGTTGTGGCTAGATGCTCACCTGCTGGCCTGAAGCTTTTGGGTTGAAATCCACATTATTTGAGATTTTTCTTTCACATGGCATTGACTCCCAGATCAATCTACACTAAAAGTGGTACCAGGTAATGAAAAGAAAGTAAAGGCAGTCAGCGTGATGTTGGTCACATTACCCGTTGAAGTCAAATAAGTCTATACAAATAAGAGTCTAGCACCATAAACCTGAAGCACAACTGGCATAGAGAGAGCCCTGTGCTTTACTTAGTTTTGTAAACAAACATGTGTATTGCTATTTTGTGTATGAATCCTTGTGAACTATATATTGTTTGTTACCAAATAACTTTCTGATGATCATTTCATTCCACATTGTGATAATTTTCTATCAAAATTTATTGTTCCTTGTTGCAAAATACTTGCTTTGTTTCTATGCCTTACCAACACATCTTTTCTGCCATACTGTAAACATAAGTTATATTCAGTATTTTGTTTTAAACAAAAATTACGTAGACAAAACATTAGTTAAGACCGCAGGACTGAAATAAAAATGTAAAATTGTGGATACAAAATGCTGTGTAATCTTTTGAAGCAATATTACTGTTGAACATTTAGTTACAACTGTTGGAAATTAACTTCATAATTTTGCTACTTTTGAAATGACATTTTATGAACTCAACAAGCAAGTTAAATAATGTAGTTTTCAATCTGTTGAGTTTATGGCTGCCTTATCAAACTACATGTTTTTTGTGTCTTAAGTGTAGGATGACTTGTAGTTTTTTTTTAACATGTAGCCTCTCCATCTTTAAAATGGAGAGCTTTGATAAGGCTTTTCAGACATAAAATATTTTATGTAATAAAAACAATACATGTGGATAATCTATTTTAAAGACCCAAAAAAAAAATGGAAAACAGTTTTCTTTGAATTGAATTTTTACAGCGTTCAAAACAAAATATACTTATATTTTGGATAATCTATTAAAAACATGCACCTGGAAAAATATTAACAGTTTCAAAAGATTTTTTCCCAAAATGAATTTAAATAATGCAGAAAGAAACAATAGATTGCATAATTTATTGCCAGTCATATTTCACTGTATTTCGGGAGGTGCATTACTACAAAATTACATTAACATATAGTGAAGAAAAAACTGAAATAATTCCACTGAACTACTTCAAATGTATAATGAACTCCTTCTGTTTACATGAGGGAGGATTGTTAATTTTTATTGTTAAAGCTTTGGCTAGTCTCTGCATTCACCTGGTTGGTGTGTGGTATTTAAATAAACAGTCTGAAAAAATCTCAAAGAAAATCAAATAAATCACTGTTAGATTTTGAATATATAGCCCACCCAAATACCTTTTGCCCAGGAGAAAGTGGTAATACAGATTGAAAATCACTTTAATAACAACTGTGGCCTGCACACTTTCCTGATGGCATAATGGTCTAGGACTGAAATCCCATCTTGATGGATTTTTAAATTCTTAATAAATCATCCAAGTGACATAAATGTATTGTGGTTGTTTACAGCATAGGTGCAATATTTGTGCCTTTTGGTTGACAAATCTGACTTTTTTCAGGGATTTGTTATCTGAGTAAGCCTTCCAGGGAGAGCTGATCTGATACTGACAGCATCAATCAGTAAGTGCAAACTAGTCTATAAAAAATATGCAACTAGCACCAAATAACCAGAAGTTAAGCTGAATTATTAAGCAAGATAACAGCACTTAAGACATTCCCATAAGCATTCTTTGCCCATCTTCAGCAGCTAGCAAAGAGTTCTAATTCTGATGGTAGCAGTAACAGCAATCATTACCAAAGCATCTAAAAGTACATATTTTTCTATTTCAAAATACTGAAAAAAAGCTTACTGTTGATTGAAATTACATGCTTAAGTCTTTCATAACTGTTATTGTCATGTTTCATTGTTACACATGATATTACTCTAAAATACTTATGGTGTATCTGTTAGTTACCATAATCATCCAGCTTTTTGTATGTTAATTGTGTTGCTTGTATTTTAGTTTGGTACATTTTGAGCTTAAATGTTATAGAAAGATTCTCAGAATATCTTGGACAAAGAAGATGAGAAATATTGACATATTAAAAGTTTTGAACATCAAGAAAGATTGGCTAATAAACAGCATCCTTTCTTGAAAGCTGAAATATTTTGGTCATATCAAGCACCACGACGGATTGGAAAAAATTATAGCAGAAGGCATGGTACCAGGAAGGAGGGGCAGGGGCCGACCGACGCGAAGATGGGCACAGGATATAGGTGACTCCTTGAATGTGAAAATGCATGAGGCGGGAGAACTGGCGAGAGACCGAGTTTCTTTCAGGCAGACTGTGATGAGAGCGACGTTTTGCAAAGGACCTGCTACATGATGATGATGACATTTTCCTGGCTTTAATTTTTCTTTGCGCGACTAACTCATTAAGTACTTTGGAACATGTCATGCCTCATGTTTCCTCCTTACCTGACGTGTAGATTTTTAGCTTCTTATGTCTCATCCCATTTTTACTTCTTCCTGTTCTTCTGTGTTCATCGAAGATTTAACTGTGTTGTGCTAGTTTAAAGGATGGCTGCAATATTTGTGCTTTTCCGCTGACACATCCTTCTGCAGGCATTTGTTGACGGTGTCAGCCCTACCCCCCCCCCCCCCCCCTTAATAAAAAACAAAAACTATAGATTATTCAAACTCTATTTGGCTAATTTCGGGTTTCCTTTAAAGTTGTAGTGCATCCGCTTGAGAGGCAAGGAACCAACAGTCTGCATATGAATAAGCCAGGTCTGTAAAATGGATGTACAGGCAAAGTTCAAGTTCTGGAAAAAGACTATAGTCCTGAAGGGATGAACAAGCAGAACTTGCCACTGGAGTTTACAGCCACTGAACACGAAGGGGAATACTTAACTGTCTGTGCCTTCATGGATTTGTTAACCCTTTCAAGTTAAGTATATCAGAGGTGGTAGGCATGAAAGGATACTTGCACATGATACTATATCTGAACTTAAAATGACTTTGTTGGGTATTTAATTAATGTAATATAAAGTCACTATATAAAAAGGAAATTGTAGGTTTTAGAATATCGTGGGATACTTATAATGTGGTTGTGAAAAGGTTGACTAAGACCATCAGTACAAAATTGTTAAAATTAATTTCTCTTTTTCCACCCACCAAATCTATCTTGTCTGCTTCTCTCTCTCTCTTTTTCTATATATGCGTGTGTGTGTTTGTATGTGCGTGAGTGCATGGTATTTCTTTTTAATAATCCCTTAATTTTTCATAATCTCTTCTTGTTTTGTTCGTTCACCAACTTTTTCAACATCTCATTTCACAGATTTTCTTTCAAATTCTTTGCTTAGTTTTATTTTACAACCATCAACAAAACCTATAATTGCCACTATTATAAAAACACAAATTTAAAGACTGCAGCTTACAAGCTCGACCTGGCAAATTGTTACAATGTAACCAGTTTTTTTTTAAAGATGGACCCATTTTCAGTTAATACATTATCCACTACGATCAGTCATGTGCCTTGCCTGTATATCCTGTTTTATCATATTTCCTGATTATAAACTTATTTCTTTTCTATCGGGCAACATCTGAATCCATATTTTTATATTGCAAACATGTTTTATATATGTATGAAAGTTTAACCCATGTACTGGTTATGGTTTTGGAGGAGTTAACATTTCATTTATAAAAAACACACAAAATAAACAAAGGGTTTGTCATTTATAGCATATATATATATATATATATATATATATATATATATATATATATATATATATATATATATATATATATATATATATATATATATATATATATATATATATATATAAAACACTTCTGTGGTCATTATAAGGTATAAAGAGTGCATTATTTATCTTTTTCCCTCATTACATCACTGTAGGCACAGATTTCACAGGTATCTGTGAAACTAGCT